TAACTGAGCAACAGTTAACCCAAATGCCAAGTACACTGCAAAATGATGAGAACTGTGGAGTTCATATTTTCAAGCAATGTGTAGAGTTAATTCATTCTTTCTTGAGGTAGAGCTTTAGACCATGTAAATCAAGCAACATTGACAGCATAATGAGAAGATGGAAGATATCTGGATGTAGGCATTAGATGTGTGTTCCATTTATTGAATCACTTAGAGTAAGCTAGGGACAGCATTTTAATACAAGATTTCTGTTCCAGTTTCCATGGAGGCAGACGGTGTGCGTTGTGAGTCAATTTTATTCTAATTTTATTTCTCTTGGATTAAAACTACTTTACTATACAAACAGGAACAATAAACAAGAAGCATCAATGATACTAGAAAATATCCATACCCAGTCAGGGTGGGGACTTTGTAATTTATTATGAATATTGTCTTAGAAGGTGGGTGGTAGCAGGGTAGACGTTTTGACTGATGGTGAAGGAGGTATGGACATTTTCTGTAAAAACTCAATGCATGTATCCCATATTAACTTCTTACAACAGCCAAGTAGTAAACGCAATCCTACACTGTTTTCTCTAGGTCAAGTGCATCCACAATTATAACAGTCAAAATAGGTCAAGCATCTATGCTATAGGTAAACTTATTCTGAAAAATTTCCTTTAATCACTCCTTTCAATAGATCCACTGTTCAAATGGAAGTTGAAAATGCAAACCATTCCTTGTTTCAAAAGTCAAATGTTGATTGGATCTCAGTGAACCCCATGTGACAATATGTGGGAATTTTTTGAGAGTTTTTCCAGTAACACCAAAAGAGAGGCCTTGTCTGTAAAACAGTTTGTCCAAACAGTTAAATGCTGATCAAACAGTCATCAGAAAAAGAAATCATCTGCATAGTGAGACAGCACTGGTAGTTATTGTCTGAATAACAGAAGTGCCATTTTTACTCTATTTGCTGACTTTCCAATCAATTTCTCTACATCAGTCAGATGTAAAATTATATAATTATAAATATTTCCATGCTTTGGTAAAAGTGATGAAACAAAAAGAGCATTAGTGTTAAACAAGGTAATGTTGACGAATTTGTATTACTGAAAATATCCATATACAACTTCCCCCAAGTTGGCGGATAATTTGACCTTGAACCTCTGGAAAATCTTTGACCTGCAGTTGGAAATCTGCGATGAAGTTCATCGACGGCGTTTTCTGAACGCGAACTGCACCTAATACTTCGAGCTGGAAATGGAGCAGGGTTTGATCTTCCCACTACGTTTGAAAGTTGAGTTAGAGTTTCTATTGCACTTTCTGCAATTCTGATAATTTCATCCTTCTGAGAATCGCTGCACATGCACCAGCCGCCACATTGTTTTTTTTTTGTGTTTCATATTGTATGAGGGTGAGCAATGGCGTATGGGATTCCCCTCAGCCCGCAATGAGATATGGGATTTGCTGAGAAATTCGTGCATATAGGACAAAATAATTGAAGAAAGGAATGAAAAAAAAATAAGGTAAAATTAATTCCAGACTTAAAAGAAGTAGAAAATAAGATGTCAAATATGTAAAAATAGTTGGAAGAGTGGATATAATTATTTATAAGACACCACAAAAATAACTGAACAAAAAGTTTTATTAATTCTGTATTAGTCAAAATAATTAATATAATTCTGACCAGAACGGGCCCCCATACGAGAAGAGCGAGATTTGTATTCATGCTTATGCAAATTTATTTCGATAGAAGTTTACGGTAAAATGATTTACCGAATCGGTGGCTATCGGGTTTCTCATCTTTTATTTCCATCGATTGAAAGGAAACGAAAATGGCTTTATTAAAGCTATAATTACAAATTACTTTACGAAAGCGAACGCTAGATGACACATGAGCGAAAGAAAGTTGCATATGCAAAGTTGTTTCGTAGAGGAAACGATGTAGGAACATGAAAAAAAACATACTTTGCTTCTCAATTCTAATTTTTTTTTTCTGTCGAGAATGTTCAGTCCGCATGGTATGATTGACTGATTGCTTCCTCTGCTTATATTTTATGGAAATTTTCAAACGCATTGCGAGCTCTACCGAGCGAGACTCGCTCTCGGCTTGCTTTACTCACCAGTGGATAACTTAATTGCAGGCCATATAGTAATTTAATTTTACTTCGTTTTCTATTGGTGTCAGTCGAATATAATATTAGCATGAAACGTCAGTGTTCCGCAAGAACAAGTCGTATAATTGTTCGCAACCGGCGCTTTCTGTTAGTTACGTGCATGGCTTATCCCGCTGTTCTTTAGCCCTTCTGATCCGTTCAAGGCTTTTGTCCATCCGTTTAACGTTTTAAGCTATCCATTAATAGATTCTGTTCAACTGTTTAACGTTTTAAGCCATGAGTTTATTTTTTTTCTCGACCGTTTAATATTTACGGAATCCGTTTTTGGACTTTGCTCTACCGTTTAACGCTTTGGACTATCCGTTTAAATGGATATGCAAACCATTTAAACACTCTTACTACCCGTTTATTATCCGTTTACAAACCGTTTATTTTCAACCATTTAACGAAAGAGCGTTAGTGTACGAAATCCTGTGCCCGGTCACATATAACAAGAGTAAACCACTGTATAATCAACAGAAACAAGCATATGAAATAGCCGGCTCATCCTCGGTGTAAAAACCCGTGAAGCTCACGACTGACGTAAAACAAAGACAACAAAGCATTATAAACAATAGCGTACAGCAGAATAATACCACATGAAACAAAGAAAACCTCGTCAGGTTTTTACACCGGGGATGACCCAAAATTAATAGCCACTGTTGAGGCCAAACAAAAAAAATTAATAATTTCGTGCCCGCAGCGTCGATCGTCGAGTTGGGGGTCAACGGAGGTATGTTTGTTTGGTAGTTGGAGGTAAGGAGGGCAAAAACATGGCAACTGTGCTAGGACACCTATTTTACATACTTATTTTGCCGCAGCGGGATGCCAATATAACGACTGCTGTCTGTGTACTACTGTAAATAATAAGATTTAAAGTAAAAAAAAAAACACTTCATTTTTCCTTTGTTTTGTATCCAGGTAAGCGACGCGCTTAAGCCTTTATAGCTGGCAAAGATACACTAAAAAGCCAAAAATTACAAACAGGTCGATACCTGTATTGCTGTGCTTGGTACTTCACTCGCGGGGGTGGAGACCCATAGTGAATTGTTTGCTCCATCCTTTTTCTTTGCAAAGAACACAAACAACATTCTGAGCCTTGCGAGAAAGAAAAACAAGCTTCTACCTGCAATATCAACTTCCTTCCAGAGATTCAACACTTGTTCGAAGCCCAATTTCTCTAGTTTTGAATAGTTTCTAAAGCTGCTAGTCTTTCTGGAATAGGAGTTTGGATAGGAGCTTTTGGCCAGCAGTCAAACGTGTGAGAAAGTTCACTTCCGGTAGTTTCCCGCCGGATCTAACGCTAAAATTTGAAAAATAAGAATAACACTTTTGTTCATATCGCATGGGCAAGTATTTCTGGGATCTCTGAGAGGTCTGATTTACTCCAGAAATCTGCTTTATCCCGGTTTAGGGAATCTGATAGTGTTTCCATCAATGATAGCCTTAACATACGTAAAATATCAGTATGTTAGTGCGAACAGGTGGCCTTTAAGTCGCATTCACATGCGACTGTTTAAAAACCTTGTACAATTTGAAGAAAAGTAATGCATTGGCAATCGGCTACGCAGAAATTCTAAACGCGATTTTAGAAGAAAATTATGGATTGAAGGTAAAAACCAGACTATTCCTGACTTGAAGGTCAAGTACATCTTAAACGCAAACAAAAAATTAAATAAATAAACAAAACGCCGGCATTTTTTTTTCTTTTTGAACTTCGTATGTATTTATTTCCACATTGGACTTCAAACAATCCATCAGGTTATTAATTTTTGTAGGCAGCCTCTTAAGTAAAAATTTCAAAATATATACGGAAAACACGGAGTCAGTTATTTCTTTCTTCGAAGGTCTGTTAATACTCACATTGCGAACCTTTCGCCGGTATATTATTCTTTCCACGTTGTGCGTTGAAGGGTAAGTTTTCGGCCCCTTTTGAGGTGTGGAGTTGTACGTAATCAATTTTATCGACACCCTTCTTCTTACGCACAGCCACCATGTTAGATTCACATGAAGCATAGCTGACGCCGCGCGGATTCGTCGTGACCGGAATTGTTAGTGATGGTGGGAGAATAAATTCTAAAGTCTTCCAGTTGCCAGTAGCACGACTATTTTTGCAACAACATTTAAAATTTTGCAATTTCAGGTCAAGGGAAAAAAGTGTAGATCAATCAAGTAGAATGCAATTGGAAAAAATAGAGCGAAGTGAAGAAAAAAAAGAAGAATAATGATCTCTTGCATTGTATATAATGGATGGAGATGAAATAAAACAAACCATATTTAGTTTAAATGTTAACTTCAGGAGTCCTTATTGGCAAACTTTACCAATCTTTCAAACGGGTAAACTTTCTGTGAAGCTTCAGATTCATTGCTTATCACGACAATTACTACTTCGTAGAATGATGGGGGAGAGGGGGGGAGGGGGAGGAGGGTTCAAGCTGAAAATTGCATTATGATCCAACCACCAAGTCTTGACTTGACAACTAAAGAACATGTTTAATCAAGAGCCATTTCTTCAAGCGTTCAACTCACCTTTGTTTATGTCGCGATGTTTTCAATAGAAAAATCTATTTTTAGTTTGAATTACCGCGGTATGAGATTCCCCGGCCGCCCACGTAAGCTCTTCGACCAATTACGTTTAGCTAGTTGTTAAATTCAAATTATTTCCCGGGAAAAGATAGTCTGAAATAAACCATTCTCCGACAATGCCTTGACATAGGCTCAGTGCGGGAGTTGAACGCTCCAAGTAATGTGTCTCTGGTTTAATTGATTGGATTTTTCCCGGTTATCTTTGCGCTCTCCATTTTCTTCGATGCACAGGCTCAATATTCTTGTCTTTGAATCGATGTTATTTGCATTAATGTACAGGAAAGTGTGAGAACTATGAGTTCACCTGTGCAAATGGAAAGTGTCTTAGTAAATGGAGGCGTTGTGGGTTCGGAGATGACTGTGGTGATAACTCAGATGAACAGCAGTGCCGTAAGTTTGTTTTATTACTATGATCACTGTTGTCTTATTTTATAGTCTTCCTTCCCTCAGGTCTGATGGCTCGCTGTCATTCAAGTCGGGCTGTGATAACCATGTCGGGATACAAACAAATACTAAGAGCCGTCTCTTCGTCTTTTTCTCTCCTCAGTCTTTCTTTCTCTACTCTCTCTCTCTCTCTCTCTCTCTCTCTCTCTATCTATCTCTTTATCTATCTATCTCTTATCTCTATCTCTATCTCTCTTTCTCTTTCTCTCCTTCTTTCTTTCTTTCATCCATTTTATCCTCCGCTGTTAAATAACAATAATTATGTATAATATGGACTAAATAGAGAAAATAAAGGTTGCTGCTATAGCTATATCTACTGACTACATAGGATGATTTTCTCAATTCAGCTATCATTTGAGTCGATGTTATTATTTTTGCTTGTTTTAATGTGCAAAAGCCAGGAATAGAGCAAATCCTAGCTACTAAATATATATATTGACTTTGAGATTGCTTTTTGTTTTTATCATTTTCGAATCATTCACGTGGAAATAAAAGCTCAGCGTAAGTTTTTTTTTTATCGTAAATATGCTTTATGTGTTCGCTTATCTAATCATTTCTTTATTCTATTTCATTTATACTTTTCTTTAACTATTTCAGTACAATGTTAATCCCACTTTGTCAAAGAAAAGCCTAACAGCTAGTTACTTGGGGCATTTACGCTTACGGGCGTGGAATCTGTTTCGAACCTTTTTTTCTTTCAAAACAAATTTTGGACCGTCCCTAGTATAACAAACATTTACCTGAGATAATTCGGAATGTTTTCCTCATGTCATTTAGCGTTGAAATTAACTATTGAGAATGAATGAAATTTGACGTCTTACATACTGCTTGGGATTTATTGCTAAACTCAGGGGAGTATAAAAGTGCATGTACCACGTCAAGAAAATATAAACTCTTTTGACAACGTTTAATGAACGTAGGAAAAAAAAAAGAAAAAGGAAAAAAAACGCCTGTGTATCCTCCTCTTAAAATGAAAAGCATTCAAATACATTTGATTAATTTTCTGACGTTGCATAGAAAATAACTTAATACTTTCCCCAGTTTTCTATGCTCTTTTATTTTAACATGGGGATACGTCATCGTAATCGCTGGTGAATGTCATTTAATTAATTATCTTACATTTTATAGGAAATAACTTAATAATTTCCCTTATGTTCTATGCCTTTTTTTTTTGTTTCCTTTTTTTTTTTCAACATGATGATGCACGATCGTATAATTAACGGTGAATTTCACTTTTCTTTTGTTTTTCCTATGTTATTTTTTATGTACTGCGCCTCGGAAATATCAGGAAGTAAGTGCTACTTAGTTTTCGTAATAAAAATGTTACTACTAACATGTCACATGACCAAAAAACTGCTGACTACTCCTGGTCTGTACCCTTTCTACCAGCTGAGCGCCGATAGAGACAAAAGAAAAGATCAAGAGGTGCTGCACTTCATCCAAAAATCGAGATCTGTGTATTGGCCCGGAAAATACGTCATGTTTCAAGATTATACAATGAATCCAACACTTTGCTGAATAACTTTGCTTTAGCCTCCCTTAGCTTCAGGACTCCTTTAATTTCGCTTTTCCTTCAACATCCCGCCAAGCGACCCATGAACATTTGACTGCCGTCCGTGCTCTTATGTTGGGGAATTTGAGCTCAGCCTGGTTGTGGTGGGGAGTTTAAACCGGAAGTTTCAAGTCTTTCCAGCAGAATAGAAGTGTTTTACCTTTTAATACGGAGTTGAGTAAAGTTAAAATAAATTAAATCTAGGCTCTAATGCTTAGTAGGCATGTAGGAATAATATTGACAATCAAATCCAGCACTTGGATAATTTGAACACAATTTTGGTCCTGGGGGCGGAAATTTAAACAAACCAATCTTCAAAGGTTCAAATGCCCGGAGGGATTTTAAAGCTTCAAATTGATCGTCACATAATTCATTTATTGGTATACTAGTGTTTTTGTCTAGTCTCCCTAACTTTATTGTTGTTCTGTATTTCTCTACTCATGTGCTGCACCTGTGAAATAAACAAGCGTGTGAGTGATTTTTGATTACACTACTGAAGTTAATAATTTACCTGTTTACATTTGTTTCTGCTCCACTTTCCATAGTCATTCCTAAATACCGCAAACGTGCATGAAAAGATGAGGATGAGAATTTGACTTTTGAATACCAGTCGTTGTAAGAGAAAAATAAAAGACATATCTCGAAAACAGTTGGTGAAAGAAAAAGAACTAAGGTCAGCTGTCAGATTGATGGGAAGGTGTGCACTTTACCTACTGTAACTAAATTATAGTTGAACTGAACATTATGTTATAATGCTCGATTTCTGCCTATCTCTATCCTTTTCTCTGCTCTCAATATCGCACACGATGGATGAAATACATGTAATTGCATCAGGCGGTAAGTGAAAGCTTAAAACTAAATATTGTAACGAAGATAATACGTATCTTTATGTATCTTTCATTTACCGTATCGAAAACAAAGTAAACAGGGTCGTGACATGTGCTTAAATAGAAGTCAAGTGATGGATGGTTTTATGCTCGGTACTAAAATAAAAATTAAAAAATAAAATAGGAGAAGAAGTTTCATAAGTGACACACGTACTGTACTCTTATCGGGTAAGCAATGTCGTAGAGTCCACAGGCTACTCATTTAAACAAAGTTTAGCCGTTGTTTAACAAAACTCGTTCTAAGCCATCTTCAATTTATCCCAATCAGTTTATATCAATATCTATTTTTGTAAACAGTGTCAAGAGGGCCGAAAGCTAATCGTGGAAGGACATTTCTTTAACCAATAAAATTAACCCTCTTACAGAGAATCTTCGAGGCCCAGTCCTTGCGTAAAACCGGGGTTTGGGTTAAACCTCTTATACATAACCGGCCCTATGTGGCTAAATCCCAATGGGAACTTAAAAGTATTTCTTTGACCATCAGTCATAACAAGTCAAAATATATCTTCCTATACAGTGTTGACTTGTTTTTTTTATGAATGCGTCATGTTCGTGAGGTGTTTTGTTTTTCTTGATGATTAGGAATATAACAGGGTAATTGTCATGTGTGTTCTCAATGTTTTCGTCATTTTCTTCTGACTTACAGTACTTAATTTTCTGCTGTTAGCAAAATGCCGACGAAATTCCCCCAAAATTTACTACGGCAGTAATTTCCACGTGGAAGGACTAGTATTCCTATCCTCCTCAACTCCATATAGCCATTGGAGAGAGACTGGGGCTAAGTTATTTGAGCTAGTTCGCCAATCCAAATTGAATTGGATGCTTCTTACAATTCAGTTCTTGAGCAACGAGGGTGACAAAATGCAACCCATGCATAAGATACAGCAGATCGTCGCGAAATTACTTTAGCGAGGTTAATGTCTGTTCTGTTTCATACGAAATTAATATATTTTATGAGACGTTTTACTGTGTAGTATCGCTGAGTATTTTTAAGAGTTGTGCCGTATCTTGACGAGCCCGTTGGGCGAGTCAAAATACAAGTAACGAGTAAGAAATACTCAGCGATACTACACAACAAAACGCTTAATAAGTTACTTATTATCCCAAACGCCAAATTGTAATTTGAGTGCGGATGAATTTCGCGGACATTTCTTTACGGAAATGTGTGACAGAAGTAGGCGAAGCGGAACAGAATTCACCCTTTGTCGTGTTGCTGTTTCTGTTTTGTTCCACAAGATGATGAAATTTCATCGTCGTCTAACTGCTTTTCTTCGTTCGATATATCCGATAAACTTGGATCAATATTCGCCTGTCATTCCGACTCTTCCTCGTCGGAAAAGTGATTTCAATTCTCCACCAGTTTTTGTAACTCCAATTCATCGCTTGTGCGATGCAAGAAAACCTGTATAACCGGTTCTCTCGAGTACAAATAACGAGTTATATTTGTACCCGTCGTAGGCGTTATTTGTACTCTACGGAGCGTAGTTGGAAAATAAAATAGAGTAAACAGTGACAAACCTGATAGAAGAAAAATATCTCCCTGATTTAAAAAGTTCGAACCATGAAGGATATTTATTACCATGAAATGAACTGCAAAATATTATGGCATGTTAACTTAGAGGAGCCTCTATAAAGAAGTAGCATTTATCTTATCTTATCTATTTGCGTCATAATGATACAGTAATCAGCGGGCGCTGTCGACCTTGATACACTTATTGCATTAGCTCACTTTAGCAATGATTTCATCAATAATTGGAAACAAGAGATTCTTACTATTTTCCATCAGTTCAATTCTGATTATATTGGAATTAAAAGTACGAAATAAGAGTTATCTTGCCACGATTTCCTTTGCTAAATACCCCGAAAAAAAAAACACTATTGAGCGACAGACATTCAAAAGATAAAGTACAAACAAAAAACTCTCCATTCCGGTCAGATGTGCAACTAATTCCGAAATAAATTACAAAGCCAAAACAGCAGAATATTTTTTTTTTCTAATCTGTTTCTTCCTCCGCTCATATATTTAGCAAACTTATCATCATTTAGCATAATTAATCGAACAAGAATAAATGAAGTGAAAATCTGGCAATTTCTGCAAGCGTCCTATACACAGTCAAACCTGTCTTAACTACGAAGCATTACCCCAATTCTCTGTTAATTCCCAATGCACCTGAAGAAGGCTGGTTTGGCCAGCCGAAATATAGTGCTCCGTCTTAAAATATACTTATCTACGTTGTATCGGTCTTATTTATATTTCATATTCGTTATTTGGGGCCGATCAGATCATAGCTGATCCAACGTACAAGAGTAGGAGTATCGTCCACGGTTGCCTTCTGAACATTTCACACTTAAACGTTAACCTGCGGGAAATTGCTTGGTAACCGCTCCATGCCGGTTCCACAGAATAGGTTACTATAAGGAAACGATAAAAAAGTCATTTGTACCATAATTGACCAATCCATGTAAAAGAATTCGCCCAGTAATAGTAAGTGCATTGATTT